GAAAAGAAACCACATCCAGCCCCACCCGCACCCTGGCCAATTGACAGATGAATGGAGCCCGAGTGGAGGGAGGAGGGAAGGGACGGTCACCCTCCCCAGTCACCCTCCCCAGCAGATCCCAGGGACCTGCTCCAGCTGGAGGAACGAAGCCAGGGATTGCAACCCGTGAGCCCCCTACCCTTCACCTTTCTTTACCAGCCCCTCAATCTCTGCTGGGAGATCTCTCCATCTCAGACTGAGACTCAGAGGCCTTGTCAGCAAAGAGTTGCTGCCCTAGGGAGGGGGCCACGGCAAATGGTGGCTGAAGGGGACAAACGCTCTTCCCAATGGAGAAACAAAGCAAAAGACTTCTCTCATGCAGTAAAAATGCGAAAGCAGTAGACACATTTAAGATTCCAAATATAATGTATTTCTTTGGCACAGAAAATGGCCCCATAGCCTCACTGCTCTTTCTTCCTCCTCTGCTTAATCTTTAAATGTTGGCGTGGCCCCAGCCCCTCCTGGCTCTTTGTCTGCATTCCCTGTTGGTCCAGCGTCATGCTTTCAAATATCTCTATGCCCAGACTCTTAAATCCATCCCTTCAGCCACAACCTGTGTCCAGAGCTCCAGAGTTGCACGTAATACTGCCCCTTTGGTAGGTGACAGGCTAACCGACACGGTGGTCCAGAGAGAACTTGGCCTTTCCTCCCCCAGAATGACTCCCCCCCCCATCAGTGAATGGCATCCCCACCCACCCAGCAGACAGGCCCTGTAACTAAGGTAGTCCTGATTTCCTTATTCCCTCCCCTCCTACATTCAAGCCAAGGGCAAGTCCTATCCACTCCATCCACAAAATGTTGTAGACTCTTGTACTTCTCCAAACCCATCCTGAGCACCCTCATCTACCTCTCGTGCCTGGACTGCAAGAGGGGCTCCTCATCATCTTCCTGCTTGACTCTTGCCCCTCCTAGATCGACTCTCCCCCCAGGACAGGGGAGTGCGCTTTTGAAATACAAAGCAGATCATGTCCATTCTCTGCTTAACACCTTCTGAAGGCCTGCCTTTCTCCCGCTTTGAATACAACCCCAAACCTGGCTTACAAGACCTTGCCGGATCTAGCCCCCATATCTGCTGCCCCAACCTGTCTTCTTTGCTCCCTGTCGCTGACCCTGCCCACTGTGCTCCCACCCAGTTAACTCCCCCCGAGGGCCTTTCAACCAGCAGTGCCCTCTGCCCGGACCACCTCCACCCCTCATGGCACTGGAATCTTCTTGAGAGTCAGCTCCCAACTGATATGCCTGGGGCGGGACCAGGGCTTTGAAGATACTGCTCTGCTCCCCTCCTGCCGCCTGGCCACCCCATTTTCAAACCAGACATTTGCAGGCAAGCCATGAAGAGTCACCCTGAAAATCTCCAGACTTGGGGGAATTTGAAAAACACCTTGCTTCTTTTAGCCTGGGTGACAGAAGACTGAGCATGCCCAGGGCCAACTGCAACTCCACCAAGCAGCCCTCCTCCCACTCAGCCTGCTTCCCACCTGCCACCCAACCTCATCCTGACCCTCCCCTGCCCATCTTCTTCCCTAGCTGGCTGTAAGCTCCGAGGCAGAGACTCCCCCTGCGGCTCCCCACAGGCCCTGCACGAACTGCATATTCATTCACCAGGAAGTGGTTGTGGAGACCCAGGAGAACAGAGAGCAGGGTGACTGTTAATTTAAACATGAGAGGACGGCTCGGAAGAAGTCACAGTGACTACGAGACAGTCACCTGGCAGGTGCAGCGCCAGGGAACTCACTCAGGGCTGTTGAACGGTAATCCTGATGGGGTGCCCCCCAAAGGCAGCTGAAAAGCCCTGAAAACGATCCAGACGCCAAGGCTCCTCTCCGCACACCGAGTCAGAATCTCTGGGGGAGGGGCCTGGGAATCTGTATTTTCCAAAAGCTTCGCTAATATATTTGGGAGTGTCTAGGATAGTGTTTTCCCAGACTTGCTTGATGACATGAACCCCCTGGGGTGTTGGTTAAATATACAGATTGCTAGATTCCCTCCCCTGGACATTCTGGTTCATGAAGTCTGGGCTGGGCCCGGGAATCTGAGTTTCTTTTTAAAAACAAGCAGTCCAGGTACATTTTTTATCATCAGTGCCTAAATTATGTGGGGGCTTCAGCTGCTCTTCTCCCCCTAGACACAGAGTCCCACCCCACCGTCCTCTGTCTAAGCAGCTGACCTTAGGTCCCTCAGAGGCTGGCCACCAGCAGTGCACGTACCCTGACTCTTCTCCACCCCAGGACTTGAGGAGTCTTGCTCCTTCCCTGGGGCACCACCTTGGCCTCCTCTTCATAGCTTCACACTCCATTCTCCACTGCTCTCCATCCCCATTCCCATCCCGGGGCCTTCCTCTCTGACAATGGGATCTGCCCGGACCCCTCCTCACAGACTTCTTCCCTTTCTCCTCTGCCTACACACAGGCTCCTGTCAGACAGAACTCTTTCCAGCCCAGAAATACTTGCAATAGTCACACCTCCACTTCTCATCTGCCTCTCCCTCTTGAGTTTGGCTTCTACCCATACTATCTCCCATCTATGGTGAACCGAAATTTCTTTCTTAGAGGTCATCGGCCAGCATAAGGCCAAGTATAAAGTCCTTTCTTGGAGCTCATGGTCTCTGATCTCTGTAGCCCCAGCATTATTTCCTGACCCCCTTTCCGCTGGAAACTCAACCCAAGGAAGGACTTTTTGACAGTGGACTGGGCTGCCAGGAGAGGGAGCGAGTTCCCCATCACTGCAGGTATTTAAGCAGACTGTGGACTCCCTGGAGGAGACATTAGAGAGGTGACTGGAGCCCTGGAGGGAGGATGGGCTAGACGACCTTACAGGAATCTGTAATCTAGACCCTTTGTCTTAGATGGTGACACTGACACACATGAGGGTGAAGATCTGACCCTGCTGCTCGGGCCTTCCAGGCAGGCTGGTTCCCTGAGTGCCATCCTACATTCTAGTCTGGCTACTAAGAGTCATCTGGGAGAGTTTCCAAATGCAGATGCTGAGGCTCCAGCCCCAAGATGGTGATTCTGAAGGCCAGGGGATCCCTGGCCTCCGCTGGCCGTGGGGCTCTGACCAGCTGGGCGTCAAGGTGACACAGGAGGACCAAGGCCAGCACCTGCTTCACTTGTACTCTTGGCAGGTTGTGCACTGGGATCTGTTCCTCTCACAGCAGTAACCACCTCCTACAGCCCCTTTCTTTCATGGGTACAAAATCAGAGGCCCAGAGAGGAAAAGGATGGGCTCCACCTTCTAGATTTCCATCCCTTCCTCACCAGCATCTCTCGCTTCTGCTCTCCTCCCTCTACTACATTCCCACCCTGGTGGCAGAGTCCAGTCCCGAGCAAATGTCCTGGGGCAGTGGTAGGGTCAGGAGTGAATAGTCCTCCTGCGTTTCCAAGAAGAGAAAGGAGACCACTTACCACATTGATGAAAACCATGGTGGCTGGCTTCACTTTGGAGGAGATGGGAATGGAGATGAGCCGACCCAGGGTGATGAAGCCCCAGAAGAGGCTGGGGAGGTAACCAGCCACCTTGTGCCCCACAGAGAGCGGTTTCTCCACTGCATAGCTGTACACAAAGGCTGAATACTCCCCCTGTGGAGAGACAGGCCCTGCTGAGCACACCTGCAGGGCAGCTGGACCCTCAGAAAAGGAAACCCAGGTTGGGGGCAGGGGAGCTGAGGGCCGAGGACGGACTGGTCCTGCTCTGAGAGGCTCCACAAAAGGGGGGCTTGGAGCCAGGATCACACGACACACGCAGGCCCGAGCTGAGGATAGGACCTACGGTGCCACAGATTATAGACTGCGCCTGCCCAGAGGTGCAGGCCTAGGGATGCGGTGGTGGGGTCGGGGGAGAAGGGGTGTCTCTGGGTCTCCACCGGGGCCCCGAGAGTTCTGGGCATACGGGCACTGCTCCCCATCCCTCAGCCAGAGCAGACTTCTACCACATGTCTTATTTATGAGGATTCCACAGGAGGTTTATTGTTGAAGGAAGGGTACTACAGCTGGAAAAAAGGGGTGTAAGAGCGTCTCATTTGACGGATGAGGGAGCAGCGAGAAGTGAGCTGCCCGAGGTCACACCGAGAGTTGGAAGTCAACCAGTGCCAACACGAGTATTTTCCACCGGCTCATCTGTTTCTTAGGGCCTCCTCTTTGGAGAGTCCCTGATATGGCCATCAATTACTCAATCAGCCATTCAAAAGGATCCTGATCTAATCCTAAGAGACTTCTGGGAAAAGACACTAACTAGTGTAACAGAGCTCACTAGTAGAATACAGAGCTGGGCCGAGGTCCTGCCTGTAGTTTGTTTACAACATGGCTTGAGAAGCCTGGGTTTGGAATGTGTTCCAAGAAGCGGAGTGCCCTCGGGTTTACATGGCAGGACCTCTACCTGGAGGAATAGGGCCCTGCCCCTTTACTTACTTTTTTTAAAAAGACTTATTTATTTGAGAGAGAGTGTGTGTGCAAGCGGTGGGAAGGGGGAGGGCCAGAGGGAGAGGAAGAAGCAGGCTCCCCACTGAGCAGGGAGGCCAACGAAGGGCTGGAACCCAGGACCTCAGTGACCTGAGCTGAAAGCAGACGCTTCACTGACTGAGCCACCCAGGCGCCCCTGGGCTCTGCCCCTTAAAAAAAAATGTGGGTAGCCCACCCTTGGTAACAAACCAGAGAAGCCGCTAGCCACAGAGTTAAGGAAAAGAAAGACAATGGGGCTGGGACAGAAGACCCTAGAACCAAGGGGCTGTGAACAACACTGCCGTCTCCCCCAGGACTTTTATTTAGCGTAAATGTTTGAATCGACTGTACTAAAGGTGAGGTCTCTAGGAAACCTGATGCCTCACTCTTTCTCTTGCTACCCCCGGCTGGAGTCTCAGGGGAGGAGGGCAGGCTCACCGTCATCCCGTCGGTCATGAACAGGACCAGGGCTGCTGTGATGTGGATGGCGAAGAATGAATAAGGGGCCCCTTTGAAGTTCTTCCTCTGGCAGCAGCTGAACAGGTCCTCATGGTCTGGAGGAGACACAAGGGCAGGGGTGAGTCTCAGCTCCTGCTCCCTCCCCTCTGCAGGCCCAGGGGAAGCGGCTGGCAGGTAGAGAGCCTGGGGGCCACGTCCGCCTCCCACCTTCTCCTAGCTTCCAACCACCTGTTAGGGACAGCCCCCGTCCATCTCAGTCCCGGTGGAAGCAAGACTGAGAGATCCGGTAACTTGGCCCAGGTCACACAGGCTGGCTTAGGCAGAACGGAGGCTGGAGCCAGAAGCCTGCCTTCCCCACGCTTTCGGCCGGCTCGCTCCAGCCCCTGCCCTGCGAGACCATCAGTGCCCACGGCTTGTTTCCAGCCACCATTGCCTGGAATCTACGATCACCCTCCAGGGGAAGGGGTCACCAGGGAAGCCTCGGTGTGGGGCCGTGGGCGGGAAAGTTCACTAGGGCCCCCACCTGGGTGTGGCTGAAACTTTGGGGGCAGGGAGGAGGCATCTTCCTTCTCAGGAGGTTGTGTCTCCAGGGCGAGCTCATCTGCAGACAGCAGCAGGGGTCTCCTCTGAGGACAGCAGGCCAGCAGCCGCTCTTTGGACAGCAGAAACAGCACGGCCATGGGCACTGGGAGCTGCGGGGCGGGCAGAGGGTCAGGAGAGCCCTGTGGCCGTCAGGCTGGCCCCTTCCCGTGCCCGGCCCACTGCAGACACCTCCACACGGTCAAACGGCGTGTGTCCGCCCAGTCCTGATGGAAGGCAGCTCTTTTCCAAGGATGTCCACCTAAGGGCTGTCCCCGGCTAATGCCACCAGGTGTATTGACCCAGGGCTGACTGGTTGAATTGCGGCCCAACCTTAACCACATCCGTTTTCCTAAAGACAGCGCCTTGTCACGTGCAAAACTTGGACTCACACCAGGCCTCTGGTACAGGAGAGGTGCCTGAGATAAACTCGTTTCTAAGATCCTTATCCTGAACGGTGCCCCCACACTCCTTCATGCTGCTAGATCACGTGACACTTTACGACAGTTTGCTTTTGTTGATTATCCTCATTTTCCAGATGGGGCGACTGAGGCTCAAAGATACCGCTTAGTCATAACCTGTTACAACGGGAGGAGACCGTTGTAAGGTAGAGGGCCTGGCTGAATGGGTCTGTAAGCTACAGACCCAGAGAGCGTTGGTGCCTGGGCACAGGGCTGACGTGGGGCAGAGCTGGACTGGAGCCCGGGCGCCCTGACTCTGTCCAGGGCCGACGCCCCCTCGGGGCTTGTCTGGGTGCTGTTATACCCGGGGAGGTACAGAGCCTGTCCTCAGGCCTCGCGGCCAAACTGGAAAGCCGAGACATGCGCTGCTTTTGACCGCAAGATGTGTGCTCCGAGCCACACGCACACACCAGCCCTGCCCTGCTATTTACACTAAGCCGCTCGGGTTTCATGAGTCCCCAGAGCAATGACAAATGTCTCCTGCCTTTGCGGTTGCCTAGAGAAGCCTCTGCCGCCTCCCTCAGGTGCCTGGCCTGCATCTAACCACCCTCGCTGCCAGGAAGCTCTTCATCAAGCCCGACCTCTGCCCTTCCTGCCGCAACTTCATCCCGGTTCCTTTCGCTCAGGAAAGAGAGGAAACCCGGGGAGCTGCGGAGGCCGCTGTGGACGTGGGAGGCAGCAGGGCCCGTGCGGCGCTGAGGGGGGTCTCCCCGTCCCTGGGGGCAGGCTGGCACACTGGGGCATTTCCCCGGGGGACCCCCACCCCGAAATACCGGCCTGTGCTAACACCTCCCTGCGGGCACCTTGGGAGCCTCCCTCCCCCTTCGAAGATGCATCCAGGTCAGACATGCCTGGGCAGCACCGCACAGCAGGCCCGAGTGGGAGGAGACGACCCCTGCGGCCCTCAGGAGTCTGGGTCTGACGGGGGAGACCAGCCCTCCCTCCAGTCCGATGGGGGAAACAGGAAACCCTCACGCAGAGGCCTGCCTCGGCAGAGTGCCTGAGTGAAGGCCAAGGCGAAACAGCTGTAAAGAGCCTGGTCACTGCAAGCGGGGCTTTCCAGGGAGGCGGGTGGTGGGAAGGACTTCTTGGAGGATGGGCTGCTGTGGCCCGGTTAGAACACACCCTGCCTTTATAAGACGCCCATTCGGAGGAGGCAAGCTCCACCTTCAAAGTCAGAGAGCGCTGGGTGGTGTGTGTGTGTGTGTGTGTGTGTGTGTGTACCCACAAGCATGCACAGCCCCATTCTCTTCTGTGGTGGACTGTTTATCTTCAGAAACAAACCAGTATAAAAAGTCCGGACATCCTGCAGCAAACAAAGTGCCTCCAGTCTGCACCTCGTGGGGCAAGAGAAAACAGACCTCCGCTTAAACTGGACCTTCCGGCTTCCCGGTCCCGGCGTCTCAGCTTCGACATTGTACGGACAGTGCTCCTGCCCCTCGCAGGTCCCCCCTTGGCAGCCACAGGCCCAAAGCTGTATTGTTTCCAAAGCAATGATCGGCAGGGGCAGCAAATGGAAAGAGCAAGAGAGGGGCGTGGGGTTTTGAGAGCCCCGAGGGAAGATTCTGGTACACCGAAAGTTAGAGGAGAAGAAAGGAAAAATGAGCACTGACTCTGGGGCAGCAGGAAGGGGGTCTGTGCGGGGAGTCAGGGTTCCAGCCTGGCCAGTGTCTTCCTAGACACTTCTCAGGCCCTTGAGCCAGGGACGGTAAACCACCCCCCACCCCCGCTCTGCTGCTCCGTGGGACCCCTCTCAGTGCGATATACGCCGCATCGCTTTGAAGCCCAACGGCAGCTGGGTGCCTGAACCCAGCCTGCCCGCCTCTGGAGGGGTGACGAGTCTGCCCGGAGCCGACTGAGGCCCTAAGTCATGACAAACCATCTGGTGCCTCCACCCCACAGCCAGGCAAATGGTCCCTGGGAATACTCGGTCCACACCCCCAGCCCAGGCTGTGCTGGTGTTCCTGACAGTGCTTCCCAAGCTGGAGAGAGGGCAGGGATGTCTCTCCATCTGTGCCTCTGGCCCCAGCCTGGGCTCCTGGAGGGACGAGGGGGCACCTGTCTTGGGTTGCAGAGCACCAGAGGTTTCCAGCCAGAGACAGAGTCAGACTGACAGGGGAGGATGAGAGCTGGGGTGCAGAGCGGCCTCAGTAACTGACCCGGTCACAGTGAGTGGTTTCTCCACTCTACTCCACGGCAGTCTTGGTGTGGGCAGGATCCCTCTGAGGTGATCTTGTCCATGCCCTGGCCTCCATGGGAGCCCACCTCACAGCAGGGCACAGGGGAATCCCACCGGCGATTAAGGGCCCCAGGGAAGAATGTCCACTTCATCTGGCTTTGGAGGAAAAGAGCTAGTTTCCCGGGGAGCCTCAGATAGCTTGAAAGTGGACCCTGATTCCATTGTGCTAAACCTGCTCATGGCTTTATCTCCCTTGAGATCACCATCATGGATGGTCACAACCGAGGACCTTCGAGTCGATCTCCTGTGACCCCCTTCGCCTTCAGTTTTCCCATTCCCTTGCCATCCCGAGGGCGCCCTTCAGGCAAGCACATTGCTCCGAATCAGAAGACTCCACACTGGGAGCTGGTATGGACTGGCAGGTGTGACTGTCCACTTGTCCCCACCCAGCCCTGCCCTCGTGGCACTCACATTGATCAGGGCCATGATCCAGAAGGCATACGACACGCGGGTCCCTGTTCCCTCCTGTGGAGGCAGCCTGGAGAGCGACTGGTTGGACCACCGCCATGCCTGAGCGTGGTGCTGGCCCAGGACCCTGGACGCATGGAAGAGGTGACTGCCGGAGCTGCTGTTGGCCGTGCCATTGGCAGGCAAGCAGCCGGCCTCAGACAGGAAGGGGTCGGCAATCAGGGGGCTCAGCAGAGCGCCGAAGCCCACAAAGAAATGGAGAACCTGGGGAGCGCAGAGAAGCGGTATGGGTGTGGGGGGGGGGATGGCTCAGGCTTCCTACCCCATCCCCCACTTTGTGTCCCGTCTGGGGAGCCCCTGCGTGGCCCTAGAGTGGGGAGCAATAGGGAAGCAGGAGAGGTGAGGAGAGAAGTTCCTCTCAACCACCTTCTTGGCCTGAGATAACTTGGGGCTTGATAAAGGGAAGGGCTGGACAGGAAGAGGGGCAAGGAGACGAGAAAACAGCAAGCCCTCCCATCCTGCCATCACGGGCACTCTCAGTTTACAAAGACACCTAGCCCCGGGGAGGGGGCCGGGAGAGGAGGCCAGGGCCCAGGCAGCCCCCGTGGCCTCCCACCCCCCAGCCCCATGCCCGCACGTGGGCTCACCTGGAGGAAGATGGCCGAGTCCTTCTGGTAGATCCTCACCAGCTGCATGTTGGCCACGGTGTCGATGCAGCCCATGGCTAGGCCCGCCAGCGCCATGACAGAGGCCAGCACCTTCACGTCTCGACATAAGGGGATGACAGCAAACACCAGGGAGATGGCCAGGGAAGACGTGAAGAGGGCCCATAGTGACTGGGCCAGGCTGCAGTAGCAGAGGGCTGAGCTCAGTGGAGGGGCCTGTGGCCTTCAAATACAGAGCCCTCTCCTTGTCCTCCCGGCGCTGGGCAGCCTCGGGGAAGCCTCTGGTAGAAGCGGGGAGGGGGCTGCGCAAGGAGCTCTGTCATTAGCTAGGGGCTTGCCGGCGAGATGTCTCTCGTGCCCCCGGTCTTCTCAGGTAGCGATCCCTACCTCACGGCGGGGCTGTAAGAACTCCGGAGACTGTATGAGGTGACACGCGATATGCACTAAACAGAGGGCACTGCTACTGTTCAGCCTATAAGCAATTTTAAATTGTTTACTTAGAGGGGCGCCTGGCTGGCTCAGTCGGTAGAGTCATGCGACTCTTGATCTTGGGGTTGTGAGTTCGAGCCCCACGCTGGGTGGGTGGAAAGGTGACTTAAAAATAAAATCTTTAAAATAATAAATAAATAGTTTACTTATAAACTATTGTATACAAAGATATTTCTGTCCGTCTCATGGATGTGCGAGGGGCATCTGCTTTGAGCATCTCCAGGATTCTGTGTCATCTGCGCAGAACTGTGGAGATGGGACCCGGGGTGGAACCCGAACCCCTCCCCTCACCAACTGGGCTGCAATGCGCTCTCCCCACGCAGGAATGGCAAAACGGCCAGACCCTTCGCAGGTGCCAACTAAGCCACCTGAAGCAAAGCCCACAGCCAACCCGCCGCCCCCCCCTGCCGCCACCGCCCGCCCCGGCCCTTGGGCAGAGATCTTGGCTCTGCAAGTTTCTGGAAGGGAGGCCCTGTGGTTGTCCCCAGTGAGGGGTGTCTGGGAGGTGAGCTTCCTGCAGAGGAGCTCAAAACAGGCAGGCTGAGGGCCTATTCCCCGTGAGTGAGTGAGTGAGTGAGTGAATGGAACGTCTAGGGCTCTGTCAAGGTCTTGTTGGTACACCCTACCTAATAAACAGACTCTGAGAAAGGATGCCTTGTGTTTTCTGGAACCACTCCGAAAGGCTAATGTGGGTGAAGGACACTGGGTAGCAAGAAGGTTCTGGGGATGCCTGGCTGGCTCAGTTGGCAGAACATACTACTCTTGATCTCAGAGTTGTGAGTTGAAGCACCACATTGGGCGTGGAGCCTACTTAAAAAAAAAAAGGTTCTGGAAGAGAGAGGTTATAAAGGAAATTTATCAGATCATGAAAAGTTGTTCTGGCAGCTAGACCTGGTGAGGTGGCAAGGACGTGTGGCAAGAAGACCTGAGTTACCAGCACATTAAGGAAAAGAGGGAGGCCCCCAGGAGAGCTCTCAGTTACATCTTTCCCCAGAAGGTCTTGCTTCCGACCCCCGTGGCTCTCTGCTTCTCCTTTTGGCCCATCTTTGATTAAATTCTTTATCAGAAGGCCTCTGCTGATAGTAATAGTTCGTTATTTTCTCTTTTCTTGCTTCCAGGCTGATCTGCTGGGGAGATCACTGATCATGACCCCTGCCTGTTCCCAACTCTGTGTGAGCAGGGAGGGGGGACTCCCTCCACCGTTGCCACTAGGAGGAGGACAGGGAGGGGGGTCTCTCCCGGCCCCCGTTCCCCCTGGCACTCTCGCTCTGTGGGTCCACAGAACTGACAGCCTGGGTGGCCCTCTGGGCTTCATGCATTTCTGCCTCCTGCAACCTGGCCTCAAGTCTCCTTTTGCTCCCTGGCATCTGGCACAGAGGGGATGCCCACATCTCCACGGGTGATGAAAATGGCAGGCTTCTCATGACCGCTTGCTCTCTCTTTCCCTTTCCTTTGCCTGCACAAGATGGACTAGGCAGCCTCCTGGCAGGCCTGACTTCAGGGATAGCAAGAGGGTCCTCTCTCACCCCCTCAACTATTCTCCTCATTGAGCTGGCGCATGGGATGGGGTGACCTTTCCACCACCTCGCTCACCACTCTGCGGTAAAGCATGGATGTCCCAAGTCAAGTGCTCAGACTCTCTTGAAGAGTTAACACATTATCATTGTTGCCCTGAAAAACCTGCAGGGCCATCCTGGTGGCTCAGTTGGTTAAGTGTCTGCCTTCAGCTCAGGCCCTGATCTCAGGGTCCTGGGATCGAGAGCCCTCTTCAGGCTCAGTGAAGAGTCTGTTGTTCCCCGCTCTCCCTCTGCCCCCCCCCCCACCCCCCCCACCACACTCTTGCTCTCAAACAACAACAACAACAAAACAGCCCTGTAGCAAAGTCCTGAGGGAAAGGGACCTGGGAACGGCAAGTGAGAACGTGAAGGAAAGCTGTGAGAAAGGAAAATGACAACTAACATTTGTTTACAGGCCCAAGGCGGTAGGCTTTGCAACTGTGCCTATTGGACCCACAAGTAAACTAAGGCTGAGGGAGCCTAAGAAAGTAGCTGACATTCTGGACTCAAACAAACCCAGGTCTTCGTCTTGATAATCCTTAGGCCATGCTGCTTTTCCATGGAGGAGAGAGAGAGAGAGAGAGAGGGAGAGACTGTGTGTGTGTGTGTGTGTGTGTGAAAGGGCTGGTGCTGGGCCACAGACCCCGCCAGGCCAGAGAGGGGGGCGGCCAGGAGGGAGCAGGAGACCAGAGTCAGCAGAGCCTGGAACGGCAGGCTTGGGAAGCAGCGGTGAACAGCTGTGGTGGCTGGAACATGAGCCCCCAGGGGTCCCTCTGCGGGTGTTCCGGCAGCTCCAAACCCTTCCTATGATAACTGCTGGCTCCGAAGCCAGCTTCCCAAGGCGTCTGCGGCAGCCTGTTCACTGCGGGCCCCGTGCCTGGCCCCCGTGCTGGGCCCTGTGCTTGGTCCGGAGCTGCTGTTCCCTCCGGGGGTGCTGGCCATTGCCGCTCAAATGAGAAAAGTGCTTGAGGAAGGCTTTCCTCGTCACCCCACACGGGACGGCCGGGAGACTTAGGGGGCTGATGCGGGAGCCGTGGGGGGTGACACAGAGACAGTCAGAGGCAGAGACAGAGGCCAGAGATAAAGCCTTAGTTTGGGCCGGGATGCCAGTGGAGAAGCAGGAGGCTGGGGAAGGGATGGAGAAGGGGCACGGTCGCGGTGGGCTGCCCTGTCTCGGCCTCTCCTCTCCCCCCATTTGCACCTTCTCACCTGGTCGTTCTGGAGAAGACACTCGATGCCCACAGGGAAGATTTTTGTTCCCAGGCTCAGGGACAGGCAGGAAGGGATGAGAAAACAGAAAGCGGAGCCTGGAGGGAAACTGGCCCGGGAAGGCCCCGTCCTGCACCTCCTGCCAACCCCTGGGGCATGATTTGAACCTGCCGCCTACCAGCTGGGGCTGGGGAGGGCGAAGCCCATCTTGGGCCTGCGGCTCCTGGGCACCGGGGGATGGAGACGTGTTGTGTTTCCATCCCAGCAACTGCTTGCCCTCCCCAGTTGCTTCAGCAGGGCTGCACTGGGCATTCCAAAACTCAGCCTGAACACATTTCTTTAGAATGGCATACTGCTGCCAAGAGAAAAGAAGTCCCAGATACATCCCAGAGCCAGACTGAAATATACTAATTGGCTTGGTCACTTAATGGTTTGGTCAACGGCCCCTTCCAGGAATGTGGGTAATTGAAAATTAGGGAATAATAATGTCAAAACAGCTTTGGCAGCACAAACGTAGTAGGATGTATAATCGGACAGGTCCTAGAGCATAAAAATGTCGAATCACTATGTTGTACACTTGAAACTGATACAATACGTATGTCAACTATACTTCAGCTGAAAATTAAAAATTTAAAAAAAAAAAAAAGAAAAGACTGGTCCTAGACCTAATTCTGCCACTTCCCAGCGGGTGGCTCGGGGCAAGGCATTTACACACAGCCCCTCTGAGCCTTTAGGGGTGAATACCTAGCTCCTTTATGAAATGGGGATAGTAAGCTCTACCTCCTGAGGCTGCCAAGTGCAGTCAGTGTGATGTTACAGTCTTTTGCTCACTCCCTGGGATCTCCCCCTGGCCACCAGCAGCCCCCCTCCCCGATGCTCACCTCCCCCTGCCAGCCACCAGGCCCCGGGAAGTATGCTCCGCAGCCCCCGGATTCCCCAGCCAGGTCCTGCCTCTGTTCCTACTGCAGAGCCTGCTGGTCTGGGGTGACCATGGGAGGGTGGTCCAGGAACTGCTACAGTGGCAGCGAGGACCCACCCGTCATTTCATAGATCAGGAGCCAAGCCCAGACAGGGGAAGAGAGTCAGGATCCAGTTTTTGACTCCGAGTCCAGGCGAAGGCCAGCATTGTGTCATTGATCTTCCTTCCCATGGTCCTGGGCTCAGAGGTTAATTCAAGCCAATGAGAGAGGGAGGCCCCACTCCCCGCAAGGCCTGGGGAGGTGCAGGAACAGGTGCAGGAACAGCTCAGACAGTTTAAGGAACCCTTCCTGGGGGAAGCCTGAGAAATGTCCAAGTTACTCATTGATGGCCCCACGTGGAAGGTGAAATGGGGGAGGGAGAGCCTCGTGGTGCCTGTCCCACCAGTCTGCTGTGTGACCTTGAGCGTGCTGCTGACCCTGTCGGCCCATGTGCTCTGCTTTACCCAGAGGGTACACGTGATCACCTTGACTTGGCCTTGCCGGGGTGCTGGCTCTGGCCCTCCTGGTTCCATGATAAGAGGAGGAGCTGCTTGGCTCCACACCAGGGGAAGGGCTAAAACAGTAAGATGTCAGCCAGTCCATCCTGCCCTCCACTCCCCGGGGTGGGCATAAATGCTGCTGAGGACCAGCCCCTTGCCACCTCGATGTGAGGAACCCCAGGGTGGGCACTGACATGCTCATAGTCTTGCCTCAGGTCATCCCCACCCTGATAATCTTCTTCTTGGAGGGGCCAGGGAAGAGAAGTGCCCAGAACCCAGGAAGAGGCAGAGGCACCCCTAGCCCCTCCCCACCCCAAAAGGAGTCAGGGCACCCCCTGGGAGCTTGGGCAGGCTGCAGACTACAGCTCAGGCTGCCCAACGGGGATGGGACGACTCAGACTGAGGGGGCCAGGGGAAGGGTCCCCTCTAACCGGTCACTCCCACAGTGACACCCCAGCTTGCTCAGGGCCCTGTGTTAAGGCTGGGGAGACTCAGAGGGAGCAGCAGGAAAGCCTGTCTTTGGGGAGATCCCAACCTAAGGCAGGACTCAGGCCCTGTTAGACTCAGATTGGGGCTGCACCGTGTGTGTGACCACACTCCTGGCCCGCTGGGGTGCTAGCCTTGCAGGGAGCACTTCCCCCGCCTCCCATGCTGGATGTTTGCAGCTCCACCTGCCTAGAACCCCTCTCCTCCAGTTACTCGCATGCATGGTTCCCTCCTGTCACTCCGGTGGCAGCTCAAATGTCCCCTCCTCAGAGCAGCCTTCCCTGACCCACCTGGTGAAAGTAACCTCTCAACTCTGTTACTCTCCATCCCCACCCTGCTTCATGTCCTTCATTTCACTGACATCTATTCAAAGTGTGTGATTCAATGGGTTTTCGTATGTTCAGAGCTGTGAACCCATCACTACAACCTGAGTTTAGGGCACTGCCCTCACCCAGAGAGAAACCCTGTACCCACCGGCAGTCACTCGCCATTCCTTCTCCATATGCTAGGAACCTACTACTCTACTCTCTATATCTATAGATTTTCCCCTTCTGGGCTTTCACAGAAATGGAACCATATAGCAGGAGGTCTTTTGTGGCTGGCTCCTTCCCCTTTGCATGATGTTTTCAAGGTTCCCCCATGCTGTAGTGTGCATAAGAACCTCATTGCTTTTTCTGGCTGAATACTATTGCACTGTATAGATGTACTACATTTTATTTGTCCATCCATCCATTGATGAACATCTGGTCGGCTTCCACTTTTTGGCTATTATGAATAATGCTGCTATAAACATTCCTGTACAAGGTTTTGTGTTGACATGTTTTCGGTTCTTTGAGGCATATACCTAGGAGTGGCTTTGCTGGGTCATATGGTAACTCCCAGGCTGAGGCGAGTTTTTAAAGCAAAAATCCCGTCTGGGGCCAGACCCCCAGTAGGCTTTCAGCCCAGGTTTGCTGCACACTGAAACACAGACAAGCTGCTTCAGGGAGAGGCAGAGTCTTTCTAGATGGGAGACCAACCAGGGCTCAGCTCAGAGGACGAAACTGTCTTTTGTATTGTTTTCCCGGTACTTCAGGGGGCCAGCATCTTGGGGAAGCAGGTTTGACAGCAGCCTGGGAAGCCTTGCATGGAAGGAAGACTGGGTTGCATGCAATAGGCAGGAGAGGACCAGAGCCAGGTCTTGGGCAGGGCAGGACTTGCAGGAATGAGGAAAATTAGAGGTAGAGAAGGAGACAGTGAGTAGCGTAGAGGGGAAGAACTCAAGCCTTCAATTAAGAGGGTGCATGCAGGGGAGAGGCCAAGGTGAGGCTGGGAGAAGGCTGAGGAAGGTCTGAAAGCCATTTATCTACCCCGATGTCCTTGAGATAAAGGGGTCTCCCAAACTGCCCAAGGTGGTTAGACAGGTCCCCAAGAAACTGGGGGAAAAAAACACCTAACCTTTTATCTAAATACCCGTTTCTCTTTCCTATCTGGCAAAGCACATACCTATACACCCTGCCAACCAGGTGACTTTGTGTTCTTCTCTTCTCTGAATGGCTCCCTGCTCCTGATAAGCAAGATTTTTTTTTTTTTAAGATTTTTACTTATTTATTTGACAGACAGAGAGAGAGAAAGTACAAGCAGGGGGAACGGCAGGCAGAGGGAAAGGGAGAAGCAGACTCCCCACTGAGCAAGGAGCCCGATGCGGGGCTCGATCCCAGGACCCCGGGATCAAAACCTGAGCCGAAGGCAGATGCTTAGCCGACTGAGCCACCCAGGCACCCCAAACAAGATATTTCTAAGGGAATCCTAGTCCAGATTCTTCTGACCCTAATTGCACTCCTCTCCCCCTTGGCCTGCACATGGTGGTTTCCT